GGAAATCAGTTGGCTGATGCTGTTGCTTTTCTTGGTACAGAATATAATGGGTTTGTGAAGGTTTTGTAAGTATGAACTCAGTTTGTAGTCTATACTACATAGAAGGAAATCTATCCTAAGAAAAAATCAATGCTAATTACTTTAAAACTTTCTGTTGCTACTTCATTCAATTTACTAGTCAGAATGAACACCTAATCAAAATCATTTTTAAGAATACTTGTACATAAATGTATTTCATCTTTCCTTATTTTTTTGGCATTTTTATACTTTGTCCTTTTCAGAGTGGTGACTGTAGCAAGCATTCACTTAACAGAATCATTAGTCGGCCTTTATGTGTGCTATAAGAGGCAGCTTCATGTTTGGACAACCTTAGCTTGGACAATGCAAATTTTGGCTGTTGGTATGATCTCTTTACGTTTCCTAATCTGGCCAGAGGAAGAAATGGCTAAGAGGAACAAAAAAGTCAAGTAAAAGTGTCTGCACATTATCAAAACTATTACACAGGAATACCTACATTGTATCACCAGAACAGATTCTTGCTTTAGACATTTATGATACATAATATCATATATGAAACTTCTTTACCACAGTTCCTAAAATCATGAATTACAGTAATAAAATTTAGTAACAATCATTGTTTCTTTGAATTCTTATCATATTTCTAATGCTTGCAAATCTCCCCTAATCCCTTACCCACTGTTGTTGTGAGGGGGGCTTAGCAGACAGAGATTGACCCCAATGTAGGGGATCACCGATATTTTGGATTTTAGTCCTCACCTTATCTAATTTTGCAAGGTCTTTTCTTCTTCTTCTTTCCTTTTCTTTCTCTTTCTTATCTCTGTCTTTTATTCACATCCTAGTGCGAGAGCCATGGTGAAAGGATGAAAGGCTGGCTCTGTGTCGGTCCTAAATGGCTTTCATGCTCCATTTACTATTCCCTCTTTACCCTTTTCACTACCATACAGCACTATACAACCTTTGACATCTAAAATATTTTGTCCTAATCATTTCTAACCTTTTTGCCACATTTGTGACCATTAATCATTCTGAGAATACATAAATATGGCCTTATGAATAAAAAAAAGTTCTTTGCCTGGGTCTTCGCCTGCAAGCCTCAAACGATCACTATATATTGAGCATGTGGTTAATGACCTTAGATATTGATGCGTCATAAAATTTTCAGTAAATTAATAAAACGATGCCTGCAAACTTTGATAAGAGCATTTACATAAAACTATTATATCCCTTGTATCAGTCAATAAGAAGTCAGTATTTGGTCTTTAAAATTAATACACTAGATTTGAATTTTTGAGCATGCAGGTTATTTGCATGTTTATTCAAAAAATACAATAATTTAAATAACATAAAAATTTAAACTTTGATAAATCATACCCTCATGTGGTTTATTAAAAGTAGATTCACCCATATAATTAATATATAATTGTAGTAAAATACTGTTTGAGAAAGGAAAAAAAAGTTGAAAAAATATACCTACATCACAATACATATGAAAGATCTATCATTATGTTACCAGGAATACCTGATGTTTGAGGAACATTATTTTAATAGACAAATATTAAAGAATATAGCCAGTGGAATAAATGCAATAATTAACACAAAAAAACATTTCAATAACAATATTTAATTGGAATATATATTCATATAATTCATCTGAATACACAACAAGCTAAATCCTTTTTCAAAAGAACAATATATATGATAACACTAATTTTACTTGCAACTTACAATAAAAAAATGTGGTGCTGGTCCACAAATAATACCTTTAAAGAATTTTTCTTGAGGAATTTACAGTAAACAATTAAGGCAAGGTAAAACTTTATGATAAAAATCATGCAAATTCTGGCACACTATATGCACTGCATCAATTGTCCTCTCTTCTTATTAAGGAACATGGTTATTCAAATCCAAACTTATGCTATAATTTTTTATAAAGGCACAATAAGAAAAATAGAAAATAGTTACCATGTCTATATAGAAATGCGTATCCCTCTCTGGTATAAAAAACTAAAATAAAGGAGTAATCTGACTTGAATATTGACTATTCAGTAAGACTAAATCAAACGTTACTGACTCATTGCATATTGTTCTACACAGATCCACATTTGCTCAGCCGCCAAGGAGTCACTTAGTATACCCTACATGACCTCAACTGATTTCTACATTTCTTTGTTTTTTGTTGTTAATTTAAGATATTAATATTGATATTGTTCTTATTATCATTAACATGATTAACACAATATTATTAAAATACTAATAACAATAAAAAAAAAAAACAATATAAACAATAATCAAAAAAGAAGATAAACACGTGAGGTAAATAGGAGCAGTAACTGACTCCTTGGTGACTAGACATTTATGAAGCTATCAATGCATAAAACCAACAAAGTAAAATTACAACGGCCATGACATGTATCTCTTGCCATTCCATATTTCCTTTAGTTATGAAATAATAAACTATCATTCTCTGCAGTAAAGCATTATCAAAAATATATTCATGAATCTTTTAACAATTCCTACAAGGCTTCATGATCAGGAGTAGAAACTGCAAAGAACATCTTACAACTTGGTTTATTTTGTACATGATTCATAATTGGTAAACTGAAAAATTTTGTACCTCATAAGATAGTTCATAAAGCTACACAACAAATATAAGAAGTTCTTCAAAACAACTATGCCATATCACTCCCAAGTTGATTCATGTTATCGGAATGTTTAAAAATAAAATGATGTTTAGGTGAGACCAAAGTTCATTAGATCATCTGTCCAGAAGAAACAATAATCTAATAGAGATAACTTTCATTCACAACCCTGTAAATCACATAATCAGTGAAAAAACTATCTAAATAGTGATGCAATTCACTCAAAAATGGTGTCAATGAAAACATTCACATGTGACATACACCAAATCAGTAAGTTTAGGAATTAGCTAAATGCTCTAGATTAAACTGTTGTTATAAATCTAACATACACTTATCAATCATATTTTTTACAGCACTTCATAGAGCAATTAAGCAAAATTTAAAACTAAATATAATAATAAATATTTTTTTTTAAGGGAGTAAACTTCTTCACACTCATGCATCACTTTCAGTGGAAACTACTGGCCCACCAAAATAAGCTGATATTTCTTCCAGTGTCTTGCCCTTTGTCTCTGGAACTACTGTCACAGAGAATATGAGATTGAGCACACATACTCCTGCAAAAAGCCAGTAGACACCAAAGTCACTAATGGCATCCTGGAAACGAAACAATGTTTTGATTAAATGAAGTTAACCATAAATAAACTGCCGAACTTGATATATACATAATTTAATTAAGGCCATTATTGGGCAGCAAGCCTGAGAAGTCATCTGTTTTAATGTTATCATAATTACTTAGAGAAAATGTAAACAAATCTTCATGTCACAATACCCTCATCATCAGATGAATAAAGTAAAAATGAAAGAAGTATTTAGAAAATCCTGAAAACATTATAAAATGGACCAAAATTATTACAGAAACTTCCACAATTTTAGTCACTTGACTTACCTGAAGAGGCACAAATATCAGAGTGATGCTGAATGACAGGGTCCAATTGACCATAGTTGCTAGACCAGCTGCAGCTTCCTTCACATTAGGGGGGAAAAGCTCTCCTGCACAAGGAAAGTAAAAATGGATTATACAATATATAAAGCTCATCTTCCTCCTAAAAGGTTCAGTTTTACAGTAGATGATTTGCAAAGGGAGAAAAATATATATATTTGCAAAAATTTAACTATTTCAGTGCTATCAGGGTAAAAAAAAATGTAAATATAGCAAAAATATGCAAAGATTAGCTTATCTAGACAGTCAACAGCATGCAGAACAGAAAAATATATTTTTTTTCACTTATATCTGACTAAAGAATAATCTGTCTTACCCATCATCAGCCACGGAATGGGGCCATAACCAATTGAGAAGGCAGCAATGAAGATAATTAGGGATGCTAAAGGCAGCCAGCCTAAGGTTTCCACTGCCCATGTCTCATCCTCCATTTTCTCATAGAAGAATTCCCCAAGTGCAGCTGTAAAAATGTGAAGTAAATAAAGGCATGAATCACTGTACTATTAGTTTTCTGCACATGAGGTTTAAGCAGTGTGATAAATATAACATGGAGAATGCAAAAATTACGCTGTTGCTTTATTAACAGTATAACAAAAGATATGGTGAATTCCTAAATATCCTGTATGCTATACACCAAATGAAAAACAGATGAATAGATATAAAAGAGAAACCCACTGAGAGAAAGAGCCATCATGGAAGCAGAAACAATCAACAGGAGCTTTCTCCCTGCTTTGTCCATGAGTATTGTCGCCAAAAGAGTTGCCAGAACCTGTACAACACCGATGGTTATGGAACTGATGCTGTCTGAGATTGTTGATCCTGAATCCTGCAAAAAAAATACTTGCAGATTAACAAGTCACCACAAAAAACACTGACCTCACCAATCCCTCAGCATCATACAAATGTACTATCTTAATCCTCCATACAAATCTATAACTATGTTTTTTTTGTGCATTTGGTAATTGGAATAAACTTATTGCCTAAAATTAATTTAAGGTAATTCCCTCCATTTCTCCTAAGGATATGATAAGATAATCCATTGAAAAAAAAGGGCAGTTTTCCTCCTACCTAAAGAAAATGTTTCCACCCACTGGTGCCATGTAAATGCACTGTAAGACTGTAGTTTTGTATTGTGAATTCTATCTACACTTAGATGGCTCCAAAAAAGCATAATTGCCAAGGAGTCATACAACATTCAATGTCCCCTTTCCCTTTTCTAATGTTATAAATATCATTATTGTTATAATCACTATTAACATTGGTATGATTATGATGTTACTATCAATACTAACAGCAATAAGAAATAAGAATTAAAATCTTTCCATAAATCAAAGAAAAAGGTAAATAGGTAAGATTAGCTAAGACTAGTACCCGACTCCTTGGTGACTAAGCTCTTGTGGAGCTATCTGTGCATATGCAAAATCAGTAAACTAAAATCACAGTAGACATGGCATGTATTTATACCCTCCTGAAGTGAATGGGTTATGAGAAACAGTATGAAATCTCATATTGGTTCATATGAATACATGGCTGAAGTTACAGGCACCCTCAAATTATCATGGTAGGATTTTATGTAGCAATAAAGTGCTTACTTTAAGGAATTTTGCTATCAAATAACAAAAAATAATTAAATTATTTAGCAAACCTTTTACTTATATCATAACATGATATTAATCTGGCTAAATATGAAAGAACAGGAAGAAAATCACAAGCCATTTTTAAATTTCTCTATTACCCAATAGGATCCAGATGATGTAACCATTATACCATGAAAAAATTTGGTTTGAGGAGCAGATGACATGAACATGCTGTCATGGGAAAATTTGGGTGATAGCCAGGTTATGGGAACTTGCCATCATGAGAATTTTGGCTGAAGGCCAGGGTGACGGGAGCAGGTTGTATTACGGAAAAAATAATTATTGGAAAAAAATAACAATAACATAATGTTCCTCACTGTTATTATCACTGCACTGAGTTATGGACTAACTATAGAGATCATATGGAGTCTATGTAAAAAAAAACAGTCTGGATAAGGCAAATTAAAGGAGTGTTCGTGCGCACCTAGCTTACAAGCCACACACTCATCAGAGGGGCCACTCAAGTAAGCCTAATGCACATAATCTGGGCCCTGTGTGGGCAGTAAAACATCTGGATCCAAGGGGTTTACTGTACATCATGTCAACAATAAAAAGAGTGGATGGATTTAATATTGTTGCCATTCTTGTCTGTATGCTTTACTTAATAATATATTATATATAATATAAGCAACTGAAAAATAAGAATCTTCAGGCAAAGCATAGAGAGAAATCAAATTTTTTGTAAAAAAAATACTTAAACAAAAAATTCATTTCCTTCTTACTTCGAAGATGGTGGCAAGATTAAAAAGAACTGGGTTCACTCCCGAATACTGTTGGAAGAACATCAGAGTGAGGGAGATCAAAAGTGGCTTCAAGATGTATGGTTTTAAAAGATCCTTAAATGAAGCCTTATTGCGCTTTGCATCCTCCACTGACTGCTGCAACATGTTCAGTTCTGTCTGGATATTGTAGTCCTTCCCTGTTGATGATGTAAATTTTGTATGTGACCAGCAATGACAAGAAAATATGATTATGCTTTATTATTTTTTGAGTAAGTAATAAGAAATACTTGATCTCAGAGGACCAGACTTTTTCTATGGAAATTTGCTATTGGACACGACCAAAACTTGTTCTGTTTCTTTTTCTCTGTATCCCTTAGTATCCAACCTTAAAGTGACTCTTCAATCTATTGATGTGAAACTCTCTTACTTGAAATAATTTTTCTTAAAATCATGCCTAATGTTTTCCCTGGATGAAATATAACACAAGCATTATGAGAGCCTAACTAAAAACTGAATTAAAGCCATTAGTGGGTAGCAAGCCTCAGAAGTCATCTGTTTTAATGTTATCATAATCAAATGTGATTAAGAGTTATATGCCTGAATATAAAATACGCAACATATGTAATTACTTTTATCTTATCTCACTAATTCCATTATAATTTCTTTTGATTAGGGTAATGAATGGATATAAAAAAAAATCATCAATTAATTAGTCATACAATAAAAGTAATATTTATTTGAATCAGCCATAACATTTATTCTAACTCTTCCAGAAGGCAATCTCACCTCTAAAGTACTGTAATGATTCCGTAGCTTTATCCAGTTTTCCTTTTGAGAGTAGAAAATTTGGAGATTCTTTAGCAAAGAAGACCATCAAGAAGTAAATCAAAGCTGGAATAATGCAGAGTCCAGCAAGCATCTGCCACGTCTTCACAACAGCTCCAATGGCGTAAGAATAAACAACACCAATTGTCACCATTAACTGGAATGCACTTCCTGAATTGTAGTAAAAAAGAAATATTGGTTAATTTCAATACTTAGAAGCAGTACATTTTACTTGTTTTATTATCCATGTAGTAAAAATAGTACTTATCAACAGATGTTATACTCTTACCCAGAGTGCCTCTTATGTCAGGTGAGGCAAATTCTCCAATGTATGTTGGGACAACCAATGAAGTGATTCCTGCGCAGAAGCCAGTAATAATACGGCCTGTCATCAACATGGCAAAATTCTGAGCAAAAGCTGAAAGGGAAAGTCTTATATTTTAGTACTGAAACTATATTTCAGTATTCCAAATTCACAGAAAAAATCACAAAAGTGAAATACTAAACAAAAACAAAACATCTAGACAGTGACATACCAATAAGAAGCCAACCACCAACAAACGGCACAACAGAAGTCAGCATTGTCCCTCTTCTCCCCAGCTTATTGAGGCAGACACCCCCTATGGGACCACCAGCTAGCGCACCAAGATTCATGGATGATGAGAAAAACGAGTTCTGGGCCTTGGTAAGATGAACTGGCCCTGCAGTTGCATTGGACATCAACAAGGGCCCTGCAGGAGAGGAGTACCCTAGCACTGTTCCCATTGCCAGTGCTCCCATGGTAGCTGTAGAGTCAAAGTAATTCCATATATATCAGATGCAAATTTGATAAATCCCATGATAATTGCTTCACATTCATAAATACATTAAATCCAGTAATTAATAGGTCCATAAACTAAAAATTTTAAAAGGGTTGTTTAACTAAATCATCACTGACAATATCCCAGTCAAATACCATACAAGAGTAATCAACAATTTATTCACAAGGTGCTTATTTTCCCTAATAGTCGACTATATTAAAATATCCGTTCCTAATGATAAACAACTTTTAAAAAATACTCTATAAATTACAAAAGATGTCTTAGCTACATCTATTACAAACACAAAAACATTACAAGTTCCTTCTCTACTTCTGAACTCTATATTTAGCTTGGACTACACAGTTAAAAATCATACCGATGTATCTCTCTACCCTTCTTATACATCATAATATGGATCATATTCTCATATTCCAGCCCTGAAAATTGTCATTCAAACTACCATAGATACATCATTTTACAATATTCATCTGTTATATCACATGCAAAATGAATTCTTTATACCTGAAGAGATCCTAAACAGTTGCTATTGCCATTAATGTTACAGTATACCTGGAATCCAAATATATTGTTTAACAAATACACATATAAATAAACATACAAAAAATCCACCCATAATCAAAGATGGTACTCTAAAGCGCTCGGAACACTGCAGTTTGGCACTACATGCAGATAATGAATCATGGTTGCACAGAAGTTTGGCACCAGTCTGTTTGAACAGATCCATTTACTTTTACCTTTCTAAACTGGTCCATAAAAACCTGCTTGTGTGAAATTAGTCCGAACACTTGAAAAGTTTTTCATTAGGCAAAAACTGATAACTTTTTTAAATATTTCTCCAGATATATATTTTCTGTAGAATGACAAGACCAAATAATTTTTAATAGTAAATTATGTAGACATCCATCAAGTTCAAAATTCTGTGTAAACAAAAATTACAAGTACATAACAATAACCATGAATTTACTGAGCAGTTTTCATCCTTTAACAAATACAAGGTATTTGCTGGCAACACATGCAAGTCATTCTGCCTGATATCTGTGCCATTAAATAAAGGGTACTTGTGATGTTGATGACTTGCACCCAACAGCCAGTGGGAGTACATTTGTATTTCTCACCCAAAACTTCACTTTGCTTATCACAGTGTGACACATGAGTTGAGTCACACAGTATGAGACCTAACTTTCTATCACAATGTCACATGATAATGATGTGCATTTAATGGCTCAAGTGACTAAGATATCTAAATACTAATCAATAGCGTGTTCATTCTGGATATATAGCAGACTGAATACATCAGAGTGTTTGGGAGTTCAAGTCCATCTGGTGCAATAGCCCATGAGGGATTAAGATACCAACTATTCCTAGTACACAGGGGAAGGCAGAGGCCTATAGGAGCTGTAGGTCACAGCTCTGCATCATATGTCATCTGCCCACTAATTAACATAATAATAACAATACACCTCACCTGAGAGGGCTGTGAAGTATTGCACCTTTTTGGTAGGAGAGCTCCTTCCCAGGATGGGGGATGATGACCCATGGCTCTCCATACTATCAGTCTGTCAAAACTCATTTTGTTTTAGTATCTATAAAGTATTATGATTCAATGCATTAGCAAACTATAAAAAAAATCTCATGCATCCTCATCTTGGTATTGGAGTTTTCACTGCACACAACTAAATATTACAGAAACAACAAAGAGTAAGTTAAACTAAATAATCAAAATGGTTTATTTCACTGATTGTTTTGTCATCAAAATTTAAGATGTCATTCCTTATCATATAAATATAAATAAAACAAACCCAGGTAAATAAGCTATATGTAACCCTTGTAATGCTGGTACATGTACTGCCCACTAATTTTTTTTTGCACACAGATGGCACAAGTGCCCAGCCCCAAAGAAGTCAATTATTGGTACCCCAATAATTGATTTCCCATTCCTTGAATTTTCAGAAGAAAGTTTATCTGTTTTTCTAATGCTATTAATACCAATGTTATAATCATTATTTTTGATATTATAATTTGATCAATGTTATCAATAAACTGACAGCAATAAAAAATAAGGAAGAATCTTTACAAAAATCAAGGAGAATGGTAAACAGATGGAAGAGGACTTGCAATTGACTTGTGTAGCTATCTCATATCAATAATAATAATGATAATCATTATTATCATAAACACAATTATCATAACTATTATAACTTTGACAATTAACTAAAAATAACAATAGCAATAACAATGACAATAACATTGACGATGATCATGACGAAGTCGATGACGATAATTGATGAGGATGATAATGATAATGATAATGATAATGATAATGATAATGATAATGATAATGAAAATAATAATAATAATAATAATAATAATAATAATAATAATAATAATAATA